TGCTCAGTCTCGACGGGAGGCACTCTTTCCACAGGAGGTGCGTAAGTGGTTTGCCCAACGCTAGAGGCTTGCTGCTGGAGCTGGAGGTTCTTCGGCTGCTGAGGGTGCTGGTGCCACGGGTCCTGAAGGAGCTTACATTGGGAGTACTGGAGCTGCTGGGCCTGCGGGTACTACTAGAGTTGGAGCCACTGTGTCTTCTCGTGGTCCGACTGGAGCTGGAGCTGCTGAGGGTGTTGGCGCTGACAGTAATGGAGGCGGTCCTGCTGGGGGTACTACTTGTGCTGCTGGAGGTCCTGGAGCTACTAGAGCTGCAGGGGGTACTGGAGATGGAGGTGCTGCTGGCGCTAGTGCTACCGCTGGAGGTGCTGGAGCTGTCCCTGCTGTGTCTTGAGTCGCTGCGCGGCCTCGGCCGTACTTCGTTCCGCTCCTTAAACAGGATCTTGGTCTGCCGCCTTCTACTGGTCCTCCTCCTCCCTTAGAGTGTCCACAGCCTATCCCGTCACAGTTACAGTTACAGCCGGCCTCCCCACTGCCTGCTCCTTCTCCCTACACTGGTCCTACTGGAGGTCTTGCTGAGCGTCGTGAGCCTGCGTCTCGTCCTGCGTCGCATGTCCGTGCTGCTCGCAGTAGTGGTCGTTGTTCGCGTCCGCGTCCTCCCGCTGTGCCCGGCACGCACCGCATGTCTCTCCGTCCGTCCACTGCTCCTCTGCGTGCCCCTTTGCCTTCTCCTCCTGAGTCCTCTCTTCCTGCTCTTGCTGACCCAGAGTCGGACTCCCTTCGTGCTTCCAGTCTGACTGTCACGCGTCTCCTTGCTACTGTCGTCACTCACCCTTCCTATGAGTCCACTGCTGCGTCTGCCCTACTTGCTGAGCTCGTCCACTCTGCTGCTCGCTGTCGTCTAGACTACGGTGCTAGTCTTGTCGCTGAGTCTGAGTCTGTCTGTCCTCCATCCGTCGGGGGTGAGTGTGCCCTTGGCACGGACGTCCTTGAGGACAGGCAGGAGGGGTTCCAGTGTTTGGCTGCTGCTTCACCTCATCTCGTGTCCGTACTGCTTACCCCTGAGGGAGACCCGGATGCACTTCACATCACGAATCCGCACTCTTACGCGGAGGCGATAGAGGGTCCCTACTCCTCTCAGTGGCAGGCAGCTATGGACGCAGAGATGGCTTCCTGGAAGTCCACAAGCACCTACGTTGACGAGGTTCCCCCGCCTGGGGCGAACATTGTCAGTGGCATGTGGATTTTCAGGGTGAAGCGGCCGCCGGGTTCTCTGCTTGTCTTCAAGGCGCGTTACGTTGCTCGTGGCTCCAGTCAGCGGCAGGGAGTTGACTAATTTCAGACCTTCTCTCCCACCCCAAAGATGACCACTCTTCGGGTACTGCTGCACATAGCTGCTCACCGTGACTACGAGCTACACTCTCTTGACTTTAGCACTGCTTTCTTGCAGGGCAGTCTGCACGAGGAGATCTGGCTGCGCCGCCCACTTGGCTTCAATGGGACTTTTCCTCCTGGCACCCAGTGGAGCCTCCGGCGGCCAGTCTACGGTCTCCGCCAGGCGCCGCATGAGTGGCACGCCACACTGAGGACTACACTTGCGGCTCTTGGGTTTGCTCCCTCAACTGCCGACCCGTCGCTGTTTTTGCGCACCGACACTTCTTTGCCGCCGTTCTATATCCTCGTGTACGTCGACGACTTGGTCTTTGCCACTGCTGACATTGCTGAACTCGCCCACGTGAAGTTCGAGCTGCAGAAGAGACACACGTGCACAGACCTGGGTGAACTGCGCAGCTACCTTGGCTTGCAGATCACCCGGGACAGAGCACGCCGCACCATTACCTTGACTTAGTCACACATGGTGCAGCAGGTCCTTCAGCGCTTCGGCTTCACGTACTCCTCGCCTCAGGCCACTCCTCTGCCTACTTGCCACTCGCTCTCAGCTCTGCCTTCGGATGAGTCCGTAGAGTCGAGTGGCCCATACCCAAAGCTTGTTGGCTGCCTCATGTACCTGATGACCTGCACACGACCTGACCTTGCATACCCTCTTAGCATTCTCGCACGCTATGTTGCTCCTAGGAGACACAGACTGGAGCACATGGCTGCAGCAAAGAGGGTGTTGCGCTACTTGTACAGTACGTCGGGCATGGGGCTTGTGCTTGGAGGGCAGAGTCCAGTGATCCTCACTGGGCACGCAGACGCTTCTTGGGCTGACGACCTGGCTACGCAGCGGTCGTCACAGGGTTACGCCTTTAGCCTTGGTTTCGGCTCTGTTTCGTGGCGGGCTACCCGCTCGTCTTCTGTTCTCGGCTCCAGTTGTGAGGCTGAGATCTACGCAGGGACCATGGCTGCACAGGAGCTTCGCTGGCTCACCTACCTGCTTACTGGCCTCGGAGAGCCGCCTCGTTCTCCTCCAGTGCTGTACGTAGACAACAAGGCCATGCTGGCCTTGTGTCGGGAGCAGAGACTAGAGCACAGAACGAAGCACATTGCTCTTCACTACTTCCTTGCTCGTGAGCTACAGCAACGTGGTCAGCTGCGCCTTGCGTACGTGGCCTCTCAGGCCAACACTGCTGATGTCTTCACCAAGGCACTTGCACCTTGTAATCATCAGCGCTTCTGTACTCAGCTGTTTCTTGTGCCTACCTTGCCTCACTTGCTCACCCCTTGACCTTGTTTATACTGTTACATATATATATACACCTGCTCTTGCTTGCTTAGCCTTATATGTATATGTAATTCTGCATGTGAACTGGCCTTGTGGCCTTGAACTTGTGCTCGGAATGTGTGGTGACGTTGTGATCCACCCTGAGCTTGCTTTGCTTTGCTGGACTGGTCTTGTGACCCCTTGTCCTTCCCCACTTTGCCTATGGGGGTGTGTCAGATTCATATGACTTAGCTGCTGTAGGCTATAGTGGGGTAGCACATATGGGGTACAGCTTTCTAGGGTTTGTACTTGTACCCAAGTTTCCCTTAGTCTTTTCATTCTCGTTCAATTTCACTTTCCCCGCCTGCCCCAGGTAGCGCAGCGCGATGGTGGCTTGTCGCGCACAGCTCCTCGCCATTGCATTCGTAAAATGATCTTCCTCCACGTTGTTTGTCTTAATCTTCTCGGCCGCCTCGATCAACGCTGCGACTTGCGCTTATACCGTTGCGATCATAGCCGCTGTCACTTGCTCCGGCGTCTGCGGCACGACACCTAGGGATCTCCGCGCCACGCAAAACTCTGCCGCGCAGTGGGTTTGGTTGGATGAAGTGATGCAGACGTCAGGGTGGGAAACAACAAGATAGTTATCGGCCATCTCGCAGCAGGAGATTACGGCCAGCGCGAGGCCTAGTCCAGCAAATGTCCATATGGCCGCGCGTTTCACCCAACCAAACTCCATTTTTGCGAAGAGAAAGAGCTCACAAAGAGTCCACGGACTACTCGCAGTATGGAAGGGAGGGGTAGGAAGTGTCCTGTCTATGTGAGGCTGCCTCAGCAGGATCGCTTGAATGGTGGAGGTGAAACTTAAATAGTACTGATGGCTGATGGTGATTCGACTGATGGTTAATGGTAATTAGAAACGCAGATTTATGTGTCACCGCTAGGTAGGGCGTCGGGCGCGAGCGCTGTGAAGGCTTTCAGTAGTCGCAAGGAGGGCGGAAGATCACCGTGACACGCAGGCCACCATATCGCGGCTCGATTCTATGGATAGAGAAATCGAAGCGCGAAATGTACAGCCCAACCATTGGCTGTTTGACGTACCGCAGAGGGGCTTATTGCCCCTCGGCTATTAGGACAGGACTATGGGGGGCGTGAGGGCAAATCCAGCGAGCATCCAAAAAACAATTTATAGGTTGCATTCAGTACTGCGCGAAGGATCGGTAGCAAAAACTAACGAGTTCGAGGGATGTACGAGACTTCAAAACATCGTCAGAGCAGAGAGTGTCCATGCTGTAGCAATACTGCAACTCATTTATCCGTAGAACATCCGTCCAGAAAATAAAAAAAAAGTCTGTGAAGGGCCACTATTCGATATGTCAACATCGCCAAGCGCTTTTGCGGATATTACGGAACAAGAGCAGCGTGTGACATAGACAGTGCTTCTAACGATTCTTGACAACTCAACGGTCTGCGATGATCCGATATGAGTAGGTCTCGGTACAACGATGAATACCAGACCCGATAATGGTCTGGTTAAAGTCGGCCAGCAGCATTTGGCATACAACAATAATAAGCGGAAACCAAAACCTGCCTTGGCGTAATGAAAGCGGACATACTCCATTTCTTTAATCCAGAAACATTAGGTGCTCGTTGAATTAGCCAAGTGTGCATTCAGATCTCCACGCATACCAGGTTTACAGGGAGGCAGCACGTTGAAATTGTTGGGCTGAAAAACCCCTTAGAATCTTTGCAGGATTAAGTTCTTGGTAGGACTGATGTAATAGCGGAAGCGTTTAATGAAAAGTTGTGAACTATCAAAAAAAGTTCTAGAACCTAGGAGGCATGTAAAGCCTAGGGTTGAGGCTTAGGAAAGTAGCGAGAGGAAATGCAAGCCAAAAGAGGGCTTCACTAATGAGAATAGCAAGTGCAAATAGGTAAACAGCAACACAAGGAGGTGCACCACCAAACATGATGCAATATCTACACTACAACTGCAAACGATTATATAAAATATGTAAACATATTTTGACACGCCCCCATAATTGATTGCAGGAGTAAGTGTAAAACGCCCACTCTGGTAAGTGTAAAACGCCCACGCTGGTCACCCACTCCATCCCCTCACCCTCCCCCTCCCCATCCCCCCCACACTGCTGCAGGAGCAGCAGAGGGGGGCGAAAGGAGGAGGATGGGAAGGGGAGACCACACACCCGCCACCCCAATGCCACTCCCCTGGCTCCCCCACACCCTCACACCCTCCCCCCTTGCGGCAGCTGCAGCAGTGGGAACGAAAGGAGGAGGATGGGAAGGGGAAACCACACACCCGCCACCCCAATGCCACTCCCCTGGCTCCCCCACACCCTCACACCCTCCCCCCCTGCGGCAGCTGAAGCAGTGGGAACGAAAGGAGGAGGAGGGGAAGGGGAGACCACACACCCGCCACCCCCACACCCGCCACCGTAGCAGCGGCCTCCCAGGGCGCCAAAGCAGGCGGCAGAAGGGGCGACGCTCGCCCCCCCCCCCCCCCCCCCAGGATGTTTTTCCCGTCGCCTGTCGAGGTGACCTGAGGGGGCTGCGTGCGGCCCCCCAGGGAGCCACAACGGGCGACGGGAAAAAGAGGGGGGGGCGGTGCATGTGCCCCCGGTGCGCCGCAACAGGCGACGGAGCATGGCCGGGGCGGGGCCGGGGCAGGGTTGAGGCAGGGTCGGTGCATAGCAGGGGGAGGGCCGCGATAGGGCCGCGACAGGGTCAGGGCAGGGCCAGGGTCGGGGCAGGTCCGGGACGGGGCCACGATAGGGTCGGGGCAGGGCCGCGCCGAGGGGCCGCGACAGGGTTGGGGCAGGGCCAGGGTCGGGGCAGGTCCGGGACGGGGCCGTGACAGGGTCGGGGCAGGGCCGAAAGGGGCAGCGACGGGGCCGCAAGGGGCGGCGGCGCGGCCGATAGGGGCGGCGACGGGGCCGCTAGAGGTGGCGACGGGGCCGCTTGAGGCGGCGACGGGGCCGATAGGGGCGGCGACGGGGCCACGAAGGGGCCGCGAGGGACCTGAAAGGGCGGCGACGGGGCCGGTAGGGGCGGCGACAGGGCCGCTGGAGGCGGCGACGGGGCCGCGAAGGGGCCGCGAGGGGCCTGAAAGGTCGGCGACGGGGCCGGTAGGGGTGGCGACGGGGCCGCAAAAGGCGGCGACAGGGCCGCTGAAGGCGACGACGGGACCGATAAGGGCGGCGACGAGGCTGCGAAGGGGCCGCGAGGGGCCTGGAAGGGCGGCGACGGGCCGGTAAAGGCGGCGACGGGGCCACGAAGGGGGCCGCGAGGGGCCTGAAAGGCCGGCGACGGGGCTGATAGGGGCGGCGACAGGGCCGCGAAGGGGCCGCGAAGGGCCTGAAAGGGCGGCGACGGGGCCGGTAGGGGCAGCGACAGGGCCGCTGGAGGCGGCGACGGGGCCGCGAAGGGGCCGCGAGGGGCCTGAAAGGTCGGCGACAGGGCCAGTAGGGGTGGCGACGGGGCCGCAAAAGGCGGCGACACGGCCGCTGAAGGCAACGACGGGACCGATAAGGGCGGCGACGAGGCTGCGAAGGGGCCGCGAGGGGCCTGGAAGGGCGGCGACGGGCCGGTAAAGGCGGCGACGGGGCCACAAAGGGGGCCGCGAGGGGCCTGAAAGGTCGGCAACGGGGCCGATAGGGGCGGCGACGGGGCCGCGAAGGGGCCGCGAAGGGCCTGGAAGGGCGGCGACGGGGACGCGAAGGGGGCCGCGAGGGGCCACTAAGGGTCTCGCGAGGGGCACGCCACGGGGCGTGCAGTACACAGAGTAGCAGCGGAAGCAACAGGCCAGGAACGTAGTTCGCTCTGATAGCATATCAAAAAAAGTTCTAGAACCTAGGAGGCATGTAAAGCCTAGGGTTGAGGCTTAGGAAAGTAGCGAGAGGAAATGTAAGCCAAAAGAGGGCTTCACTAATGAGAATAGCAAGTACAAATAGGTAAACAGCAACACAAGGAGGTGCACCACCAAACATGATGCAATATCTACACTACAACTGCAAACGATTATATAAAATATGTAAACATATTTTGACATGAACCACCTTGCGCTGGTATGTGGGGGCAAAGTAGATTGATTAAAACAAAGAGATAAAAGCTTTTATAAGAGTACAAAGGAATATGAAGGGTTATGACTAATAACTGTTTTGCTGTTGCTGTTGCAGTTCGATACAGTGACGACTCGGGCAACTGCTCAATAGCGGTTCAGTTGTTTGTCCTTGCTGTCGCGCTGTACTTGTCAGGTCAAAGGTCGCTGACCTTTGACTTTCGCGTAACCTCCAGTAGTTGCTCAACCTCCGAGGGTTGACTCGCTGATGCTTCGATATGTTGTGCTTCGCTTCTAACTTGGTGTTTCGACACGACAGGGGCGCTTAAATCTATTGTTTCCAACACTCCCCTTCGCTTCTAGAGTGCCGCTGCTGGTGACGTGGCTATGTCTAGTCAGCAGCATGCAGTACTCGAACTTATGTTTTCCGAGTTTCTTGGTCAAGTAATCAGCTGCCATCTCGGACGTGGGGCAGTAGGATAATTCGAGTCTCCCCTTCTCGATCTCGTCTTTCACAAAGAAATATCGCAGGGCGATAGGCTTTGTCCTGTTCGCGAATCCGTTTTTGTTGGCTATGCGAATTGCCGACTGGTTGTCGCAGAACAGAGTGAAGCTGGGTAACTGAGCCAGCTTCGCTTCCTCCAAGAGTTCGCAAAGGTACAATCCTTCCTTGGTGGCTGAGCAGAGTGCGATATATTTTGCTTCAGCTGAGGAGAGAGCGATTAATTCCTGCTTGCTTGACTGCCATGAGATAGGTCCGATAGGCTCGAGGCGGTAGATGTAGCCTGTGCGCGAGCGCCTGTTGTCAGAATCTCCGGCGTGGTTGGCGTCGACGTAGCCGATTAACTTAGGCGTTGTAGTTCCATTCTTGTAGTAGGTCAGGTCGATCGCTGGCGTGCTAACGAGGTAGTGAAGAGCGCGGTCAAGCTCCGCCATGTGTTCAGCTTCAGGCCTTTTAAGGTAGGTGGCGAGTTGACTTGCAGAGTATGATAGGTCCGGGCGGCAGGTGACAGCTGCGAAGAGAAGGCATCCCAGCTTCCTCTGGTAGTCGCATATCCCGGCAGGCTTGAGTAGAGTGGACCTTTCCTTGTGATTTCCTGCCGTGTAGCAATATGGCGTAGAGATGGTAGTTGGCGTGAGTGCGAAGCGTTTGGCGATAGTGTCAGCGTATTTTGCGGCATTGAGGTAGATCGCGCTTTCTCCAACCTGGATGTTGAGGCCGAGGTACTACGTGACGGTAGATGAGACTCTGAGCGTGAGGTCTTTCTGTAACTCCCTTTCGAACCAGGTGGTGACGTTGTCGGTCGACGCGATGTAGAGTAGATCGTCTACGTAGACGATTAGTAGAATATAGTCATCGCCTTTCGTGAGCCGGTACATGCCTTGGTTGTGCGGTAGCTGCCGGAATCCGATGCGAGTAAGTCGAGCGTGTAGGTACTGCTGCCACAGTCTTGGGGCTTGTTTGATGCCGTAGAGCGACTTTAGCAGCTGACAGACGTGATTAGGTTTTCCGTTGGAACCATGTGGTAGTTCGACGAAGATTTCTGCGTCGACAAGTGCGTAGAGGAATGCATTGGCGACGTCAATTTGCCGCAGGTTCTTCTTCTTCATGGCGGCGATCGCTAGGAGAATTCGCAGCGAGGTGTGTCGGCTGACCGGGGCGAATGTCTCGGTGAAGTCGCGTCCGTGCTCTTGGTCGAAACCGCGTACGACCCAGTGCGCCTTAAACTTGTCGATGGTGCCGTCTGCCTTAGTCTTCACACGGAAGACCCATTTCCCGGTGAGTACTGTCTTGTTTCGTGCCACGCCGACAGGAACAACTTTCCAGGTGTTCCGTTCTTCCTGTGCTTTCAGCTCCTTGTCCATGGCTTCACGCCATTTTTCCCTATGCTCCCCCCCCAAAGCCTGCTGGACTGTGTCAGGCTCCTTAGGAATCTCAGTGCCGTGGACCACGCTGACGAGGCCGAGTATCTGGAGGCCACTCCGTGTGTAGCGGGGAGTGTTGTGTCCGCGGGATAAGCTGCTTCGTCGCCTGCTTCTGGGTCAGGTATGAAGTTAGGCCCTATGCGTTCTGCTTTGTTGGTGTTGACTTCTGCAGGTGTAACGTAACCGTTGTCGGCGCAATGGTAAAACACTTCGGCGTTGATGTTGTCGCGAGGATTTTCGTCATCCATTGGGACGTTGACGGAGCAGTAAGGGAGAGGTCCGGCTTCCTCCGAGGCTGCATCCACGTTCTGCTTGTCCCAGTCAGCTTCGTTTGCTGCCGAGGCGAAGGCTCAGTCGCCACGGAAGCCACCTGTGGGGTCCCGATCTTCTTCCAGGTTGGCAAGGTACGTTTGAAGGGTAAGTCGTTCGTAGAAGATGACATCACGTGCTGCTACTGTTTCCTTGGAGTGGACGTCGAAAATTTTCCACGCGTTGTAATTTCTTTTGATGCCCAGGTGTAGTCCCCATTATGCGCGTTGGGAAAATCGGCCGGCTCGTGCAGATGGGGGTCGGTACTGTACCATGCAGCCGAAAACTCTTAACATTTTTTTGTCAGAATGTTATAATTGTCTAGTCTGCAGTGGGGTACTCTATAGTGAGTACAACCCTGTTAGGGTTTGCTATATGTACTGCCCTGCTTACTAGTGCAACTCTCTTTTTCTTGTTCTAACTTTCTGCTACTATCTCTGACATGCTATCAGAGCCTGTCCTTCCTAGGCTTGTAGGACCACCTACCTGTTTCCGCTGCTACTCGGTCTGTCGCGCGCCCCGTGGCGTGCGACGTAACTTTTATCCCAGCGCACGGTGGTTTACTCTCTGGCGCACGCCCCGGGGCGCGCGGCCCCTTTCCTTCCTGGCGCGCCGCCCCCGCTGTTCCGTCGCGGCGCCCTAGGGAGCCCACGCGCCCCCTGCCCGTCCATTGCGACGCCCTACAGTGTCGCGCGCGGCCCCTGCCGTCCTGTCGCAGCGCCCTGGCAAGGCGCGCGCGGCCCCTGCCGTCGCGTCGCGGCGCCCTGGTGTCGCGCGCGGCCCCTGCCGTCCTGTCGCGGCGCCCTGAGAGCCGCGTGCGACCCTGTCAGAATCCCAACCACTAGACCACTGGGATAAAAGGGCTTGTTAAGTAGCGGGTCAGTGCGCCCATAACCCCCCAGGCCAACATGCCTGTAACCCTTCCCTAGGATCAATCGGGCATCCACAGTGCAGTTCTACTGACACCCCCCCACACTGGGAGGCCCAGGACTAAGCACAGCGGCAACGGCCTACATGTGCATACACCGGGAATCGAACCCGAGACCGCTCTGATACCATGTCAGAATCCCAACCACTAGACCACTGGGATAAAAGGGCTTGTTAAGTAGCGGGTCATTGCGCCCATAACCCCCCAGGCCAACGTGCCTGTAACCCTTCCCTAGGATCAATCGGGCATCCACAGTGCAGATCTACTGACAGACCCCTCGCTACCCTGTCGCGGCGCCCTGAGGAGCCGCGCCCCGTCCCCCGCGCTGCAGTCCACGCTCCTGCCCCGTGCTGCCCGAGTTAGGGTTTGGGGGTGGCGAGTGTGGGGGTGGCGAGTATGGGGGTGTCGAGTGTGTGCGCCGTCCCCTGCTCCTCCTCCTCCTCCGTCTCCCGCTGCTGCTGCTGCCACTGAGGGGGGTGGATGTGTAAGAGCCGTCGGAGTTGGAGTGGTACTAGGGGGGTGGCGGGTGAGCAGAGCTAGGGGTTCAGCAGGGGGTGTGTGATAGGGGCATGGGGCAGTTGGCGGAGGTTGAGCGGAGGTAGCAGTCGTGTCGCCAGCAGCAGCAGTAGTCCGGAGGCTACAATCTCCGGTAGTTTCCAGTCGCCTGTGGGTCAGTTGCTCCAGTCAGGAGGCTACAATCTCCGCGGAGCCGGTTACTCCTGTAGTCCGGGCCATTACTTCGGTAGCCACTGAGCCAGCAGCTCCTGTATGTCTGCAGCTTCCGCCATCGCCTCCCATCTCCTCTCCTCTCACGGTCCCTCCTCCTCCTCACATGCCCTCTGTGACTACCTCTAGCTTTACTTGTGCTTGTGAATTATTTTGTGACTGCATGTTGTACTGATTGAGAAGAAACGAGAATGAAAATGAACTATGAATGAACTGTGTACAAGTACTAACCCCAATTGGGTTGTACCCCTTATGGGCTACCCCACTATAGCCTACACAATAAGCACAAGCTATATGTTCTGACACACCCCCAAAGGCAAAGTGGGGGAGAACAAGGGGTCACCAGACCAGTCAAGCAAAGCAAAGCAAAGCAAGCTCAGGGTGGATCACAAAGTCACCACACATTCGGAGCACAAGTTCAAGGCCACAAGGCCAATTCACATGCAGGATTACAAAAGGCTAGACAAGCAAGAGCAGGTATATATATATGTAACAGTACAAGCAAGGTCAAGAGGTGAGCAAGTGAGGCAAGACAGGCACAAGACCCAGCTGCGTGCAGAAGCGATGATGATCACAAGGTGCAAGTGCCTTGGTGAAGACACCAGCAGTGTTGGCCTCAGAGGCCACGTACGCAAGCCGCAACTGACCACGCTGCTGTAGCTCACGAGCAAGGAAGTAGCGAAGAGCAATGTGCTTTGTTCTGTGCTACAGTCTCTGCTCTCGACACAAGGCCAGCATGGCCTTGTTGTCTACGTACAGGACTGGAGGAGAGCAAGGCGACTCTCCAAGGCCGGTTAGTAGGTAGGTGAGCCAGCGAAGCTCCTGTGCAGCCATGGCCCCGGCGTAGATCTCAGCCTCACAACTGGAGCCGAGAACAGAAGACGAGCGAGTAGCCTGCCACGAAACAGAGCCGGAACCAAGGGTGAATGTGTAACCCTGTAACGACCGCTGCGTAGCCTGGTCGTCAGCCCAAGAAGCGTCCGCGTGCCCAGTGAGGACCACTGGACTCCGCCCTCCAAGCACTAGCCCCATTCCTGACA